GGGGATGTGTGACGCTCGTCCCGCATCACGCGCAGCGCCGCTGCTGGGATATAGGCAGCTGTCGCTGGCGAAGGGCGTCCTCTGCGGAGTGGCCAGGTCACGTCACACAGAGGATGGCGTCAAGGAATAATATTGTGATAGGACTCGACATTGAGTGACGTTCTGTGACCTCTGGCATCTTCCGTAAATTAAATGGGCATCCTGCTGTTTTGTTTGGCTGACTTCAAGCAAGCAGTTCACTTCCGTTGCCGCATAAACAATGACATGCTGCGTATTGCTGTCGATAGACGTGGGCCCGCAGGCTGCAGCGTCGGTTCAAGGAGGCTCGGTCGTCCGCTGAGTGCGATCTCGGCAGGACGAACGGTAACAGCAGCGCCATCTATTGCCAGGTGGTGTGCGCTAAATGTTCGGGTCAGAAGGCGGCGCTGGCCTACGACGGTGGCCGACCGGGCCGCGTCTGCGACACGTGCCGCCGGCAGCTGGCCGCTGAGGATGCGGGAGACACCGGTCCCACCCGCCAGGGCGTGCTGGACACCAGCTACACTCGCGGCAAGGGTCTGCTGGATGTGAGTCACCTGCACGTGCCCCTCGATCCACCCGGCTGCGTCCCGCGGGGGGCTTATGCTGTTTTTGCGGAGAGTAAGCGGGTAAAGCTCATGCCTTTGAGCGTGCCGCGTAAAAACACGACCCTCAGAGTCGCCGCCGGCTCTAGCGGCATGCTCGGTTTTGCAATACGTGCAGCGGGGATGACGGGATTAACACTTTCGCTAAGATCGGGTCAGCTGCAGCTCGGTACGCAGCTGCCAGACACTGCTGCCCTCTGTCAACGGCCTGGTGACTCTGCAGTGTCCGCTCCTCCCGCCAGGTGGCTGCCACCGAGCCAAGCCTGCAGAGCGGCGAGCTGCAGCTGCGCTGTCGGCGCTCCTGGCTGCGGCGCTGGTTTGCTCTGCGCGCAAACTGCGCGCTCTTCATGTACGAAAGTGGTGGCGACCGCGCGGCGCTGGCGGCCGTCCCCGTCCCGGGCTTCACGGTCACGTGGGCAGGGGCGGGCAAGGCCGAGCCAGGTCTGACAGAGAAGGAACGGGAGCGCGCCTTCAAGCTCACCCTAGGCAAGAGGAACTATACACTGATGGGAGACAGCAAGGAGGAGGTGGCTAGGTGAGTCTGCACGCGGATAATTGGCTGCTTGATAGGTTAACAGGTCCACGAAACGCACGATTATGCATTGTTTTTTCCGAGACAGTATCTTAATCACGAAATGGTCAGTCGATTTAGCTCTAAGTGTGAACATGCTTAAGTAAATGCGTGTGTCTGTGTTACATTGGTTGTACTGTCAGCATTCTACGTTTCAAGCTTGGCTTATGATCAAAAGTGATCACAGCTCCTGGATATCATCTCAAAGCATCAAGCACAGCTTGAAACGTTGAGTGTCGACATTATATTCAAGAACAGCTTGGAACGGAAAATACTGAAACATGGCCAGCTTTTTCTACCTAAGGTCGCTTAATTGGTACCTCCTGGTTCATTGAAGGTCACTTTCTTGCTAGTAAAAAGTACGTTTTGATACTAGAATGGATACCCCAAGCATTTTTTTTTTGTACCCAGAACTTTACGTTGTTGCAAAACATTACAAAATATAAAAAGCTTTGTAGATGCGCAGATCGTCGTTGTTAAGTTATTTAACTTTGCGACTGAGAAAGCTTGAAAGCATAGATTTCCGAATGAAGCTTCTCAAAATCCTTGAAATGGGTTAAAATCCCAATAAATATAATCATCCGCCTTTTAAGTTTCATTACAGCATGTTTCGTGTGCCCTGGTTGAAGGCCGGCGACAATGAGTCCTTGGTTTCCAGTTTGACCTTTTGTTACAGATGGATTGCCGCCCTGCAGAAGGCCTCGCGGACAGAGGTCCTCGCCTCATCAACGGCTACACTGTGACCCTCAGGGTCACGGACAGAGGACCCTTCGGGCACGCCATAGTAAATATCATGATAATGCAGTCACCCACAAACGTCATGTTAGTGAGCGATTATCAGAGTATTTAAGGCCTTGATTCTTTCTTGCGATATTATAAGTTCACATCAACGCAACCAATTCTTCAGTTGCGCCGCGGATCACCGCTTGTCTAGTCTTCCACATGTTTATGTTTTTTCCGCATTGGTGCTGTTGCTGTCACGTCCCAGGATAAACTGATGAAACGTACGAAGCTTTCGAACGAGTGATCGAATGAACAGAGAGCAGGCGATGTGCTAACATTGAATACCCATGTGACTGACATGTCTCACTTCCATCATTGTCGTGAGCTGATTAAACGCATCCGTCTAGTGTATAGGTGTGGTTTGTAAGGATACCTGCCCGTTTTAAAAAGCATCGTCCAAAAAAGAAAAACGAAAACCCCAACATGTGAACACGGAATCGATCTTTCAAGGTGTCGTTTTTAGTACTGAAACAATCACCAGAAATGAGAAAATGCTTCGACGTGCGTGTATGACAATCACCGTGACAAGAACTGCAAAGTTTTAACGCTGCGTTATGAAGATATGTTGCCCGCCGGCTCAAAATGGCTATATCTGAATGAAATGGATCAAAGTAAATCGCTTCCAATTTGCCAAATATGAGTGCCCGTGAGGCCGTTCGTTAATATAAATCCCACTAATATGACACCATACGCATACGGTCTACCGGGCAGTAGTGCATACTGAATCCTTTGGATAAAATATTCAATATCCGAGTCAAACACGGCGACATTTCAGTCTGCAGTTTTGCGAAACGCATCCTCGCTTTATCACTAAATCGCGGATAAACGTGTCCGCCAGTTAGTCATAGATATAGCCGTAAACGAACCGACATCCCGTTTCCTCTCGAGGGCTGTTATTTCACTTTCGCCTATATGCCACCAAATATTAGTGTAATCATATATTTTATCTGTAGTTCCATAGTACTCGCCAGCTGCAGCCTAAAATATGGCAATCAAAAGCGCTATCGGTGTTGAAGGCATCATGTGATTCACCTATGAAACAAACGCTCAATGTCGGGGGCACGGCTCAGACCCGTTTGAAAACAACGACTATGCGTTAAGTTTCGTTCAAATAACCGAACTCCAGCAGCGTTAATCAGCGTTAAGAATCGACTAGTTTTTGGACGGGGTGAGTGGGTACTGTTGTGACGTGTTGGCGACTGGCGACTCGCACATGCGTTGGTTGTCGTCTGTGCTGTGCACAGGCTGAGCGTGGGGCAGGCGGTCTGCACTTCGACATTTGAACTGCCATCAGTGCGTCGCGAGTGATAAATATCTGTGCACTTTTTCTTGCATATTCGTTTCCACTGTTCATAGCCAGTTCATGACGCTTGAGGACCGTACTTTCAAGACTGTAGCCTATGTCATATCCAAATACAATGTTCAGTCGATGACACAAAATCTATTTCTAGCGCCAGTGTTGACACCGCTGTGTCATAACGAGAAGCAGCTCTTCAATGTTCATCGCTGCTACTTCAAACAGGCTGTTGACTGGGTCACCGCGTGCTTTTTACCTTTATCTCGCGGTTTCCCTAGGCCGTTTGCTCACCGGGGGGAGGGGGGGGGGAGGCTGTCAGTTACAGTCGTAAGGCACTTTCAGCATGCACCTATAGGTATGCTTTCATCCATTCTGCAAAACGTGCGCGCCTACAAACGCAAAGAAATGTAACCGCCTGCAGTACGCATGCTCGTCTATGAGTGGATTAAGCGCTAAGTGACACCTGGTCCTGGGACAAGAAAAAGTAAACTCAATCCATCTCAGCAGAACATATCGTTATGGAGCAGCGACTGTGCCAGCCTTACGTAAGGCCAGATACGGACGTGTCATGTGAGACATGTATGCCATATCAACGTTTGTTGACTGGAGAGTCATCGAATACAGTTATTATTTCATCATTCATTGATATCCGAATCTATTGGATACATTCATTCAGAATACGGGTAAAACTGTCAATGCAAGGTCACTTAAGTAGGCATAGGGGAATCTGCCCACAGCACGGGGTGGAACACATGACACAGACACAGCTGCTTGTCTGAAGCCTCCAACATCGTTCAAAAGTATCGCTGCTGACGTTGTGCGGAGATCTCATTTACTTATTTATTTATTTATTTATTACACGTCGTATGCTCACTCACACTCAGAATGTGGCTATCACAGAGCTCGTGTCATAGCAATAAAACACTGTAGGTCAGGGAGGCTCTCGCAAGCACGTACACACGCAGGCACACATACACAGAACGCACTCTCTCACATTCGCTAAAGCCATTTGAAGTAGGCGTCGCTATCCGTTATTGATCCGCCGCTGTAGGATATAGCTACGTAACTCATGACAATAGCAGCATCCATTTCCCGTTCACATGCCTAGAGTGCAGATTCAGTTCGATGCGGCTGGACGTGCGTAGGGTGGATTCTGCCTTTCCTCAGGTCTCAAGAACTGTTTGTCCAATTTTGATGGGACAACGCCACTTCATTGTTATGAATGAGCTCTTCATTTCTAGGACGAAAGCGTCTTCCATTTTTTTTTAGGAATAGGGGGCCAGGAATCTTTTCGAAGTTCACTCTCATGGAATGGACGCAGATCAGTTTGAAACGTACGGGCCTTCCATATACCCAAAGCTTAAATACAAAACAAAGTGGCGGTTCTAGGGAGGGCGAAGGGAAATGACTTTGACTTCGTGATATAAACGTCAGATGCATAAGTGTCAGGAAATCTGCCAAGTTCGATATGTTATGCGGTAGGGAATTCAGGTAAACATATATAGAGGAGGAAGACCAGCGACCCTTTTCTGTATGCATTTGTCCACATGACAAAATCAGTTGTAGCACCTGGGCTTCTGACGTAGGGTGAATGCAGTCTGCCAACTTCCAAGCATTGGCGGGTTCACGGCGGCATGTTGGGAAAACTGTTAGACAATGAGCTACCCAAGCACGCAGAAATACATGAGCCTGTTTCTGTCGATTATTTATGAGGCGTATTCAGTGCGATTTACTTACACAGCTGTACATCGAAGCCGTAGGAAGCACTCACCTGTTTGCCCTTTTGCCCTGAAAAATCGCTGCCAGTACTGCTGATGCCTGTGAAGAATTTGACTTGTCATAAAATTTGAAGGGTCTGCCAAAATTTATGGCTAGATAAAGAAATATGTTCAATTGCTCACCCACCCTGGCCAGCCGGTGGCGTCATCAATGTTGCAAAATAATGCACGATCTTATTTCGTAGCGTCATTCCTTAAGTCTGTTTTGCATGGCTGTTTCATAAACTACGCATGTGTGACATTTAAGAATTTAGGTAAATTTCTACATCAACGTGCTGATGCTGGGCATAACGCACGTTGCGGATGTATGATTTTGGCTTGTCGCGTGAATGATAGGTTCTTCGCGTTGATATCAAGAGTTGAGCTGTGAGTCATCCAGAGTTGTAGGCTGCTGTGACCACGTGGGAACTTATTTCAAGGCCGTTTTGTCAATATTGATGTTAAAGGGATTGGTCCGTTTCCACCAATTAGCTCTGTATTTGTGTTTGGTGTTTTTTTAAACAGTTAACATTTTACTCAATTTTTGTAGAATATAGATAGTTTGATCACTTTGGTAAAGCTTGGACAGAGTGAATGGAGCTAGCAGGATGTTTTAGAGCTTGGTATGCTAAATATTGTCAGATGAGGTTGAATTATTTGGTGGTGAGCCAAAGGTGGAAGCAGCAAAAATTGATGCAATGAGGCTATTTGAGTTTTCTAAAATTTGTACACCAAGGGACCTGCTCACTTTGAATCACAGTTATTGAATGAGTGTGTGAAACAAACAGCACAAGCATGAACACTGTTTTTACTAGTGCTGTAAAGCTGTGATCAAATTATTCCTGTAGTTGTACCTCTAAGCAGTGTTTGCCTCCTATGGAACTGATAATGAAGCAAGACTTTATGGACATATGACAGTGCTGTTAATGGAGATAACTACCAAATGGGTCTATCATTGGTAGTGAATTGATCAAGAGGAGGCACCAATACTTTCTATACAATTTATTATCAAATACCATTTGCAGACTTCATGATTTAAGTAAAACAAAACCTAAGGTTAAATAAGCATTATGCTGTTAAGAGACCAATCAGGAATAAGTGAAGATCAAGGCTCATGTGTGCTTCTTGAATTTGTGCTGCATGCTCTGGAAGCTGTGCTGTACTCCTCCAATGTCAGAAATTTCAAGTAAAGGTTTTGGTCAAGTAGAGCAGTGCTGTAAGGGATGTTTAATATAACCTTTTGGATAAAGAATTGTACCTATGCCCTGATGCATAATCTATGATAACATGAGGATTCCTGATTATAAGGAGATTTCATTTGTTGCATAGCATCTGTTATCTTGATGTTGATTTCATTATATGGGGCAGCTGTCTGTGGTGGTAGAAAAACAAAAGCTCTAGTATGTAATGGAAAGATCTACAGGCTTAAACAATTCATGATTTTCCAGATTAAGATACTTGATTTAGCTCATACAAAATCATTTGGTGTTTGGATGGTGATGGGAACAAATAGATGTCCTTTTTCACACCTGCAGGTGGCCATACAATGATAGAAATAATAGGATTACACAAATTTTGTGAGAACAAGCATGTTTGATTACTAAGGCTTTTCCCTGAAATTGGATTTTTCTTGTCCAGCTTGAAAACATACTGTATTGTGAATGAATGAATTCTGACACATTTTCTAAATGTCACACTAGACAAGCTCTGCTATTACTCAGGAATGGGACATGCTTGATGCTGTTTATTTGACTGATCATTATCTGTTTCCACTTTCCTGATCATCAGGTCACCATTATCATCATTAAGATTGAGCATAACAATTAACTTTGATAAGAAATATCAGGGCATGGCTCTCAAATTTTAATTCACTGATGCAGTGTCAAATAGCTAGAATTCAAGTTTTTATTCTTTTAACTCATTATGACATTTAAATATGAATTTTTAGACATCATGCACTAACCATACCATTGTTATATTTTATTATGTGCGAGGTGCTGGGAATAATGTAAGAATGCCACAAAGAAAATAGCAGAATGCAGAGGCATTGAATTTTCTAGGTATATGCATTCTCTTTTGGACACTCCTCAAATTTCATCAGACTCTTAAGACTAAGATATGTGCCTAAGTACATTTCCACACTTTTCTTTCAGGCACCATGGCTGCCACAGACCGCCTGGAAAACGTCAACCCCCAGATCTTCTGCACGGCCACTCAGAGGCCAGTGACGTCATCAGAGCTGGACGACGAGGTGGCCGACCCGATCGACGCCCGCGAGGTGTTTGACCTAATCCGGGACATCAACGACCCTGAACACCCGCTGACCCTAGAGCAGCTGAACGTGGTGGAGGAGCGGCTGGTCGAGGTGGACCCGGAGGTCGGCCGCGTCCAGGTCTGTGCACGGGGTCTGGGGTGTCAGATCATGGCAGTGACAGAATGGATATGTGGCACGGCTACAGTCCAAAGGCAAAAAGGCCTACGCCGCTCTTTCGGAAATGGGGGTGTTAATATCACTCGATGCAGCTTGCAAAACTGAATCCTGTGATTTCAAAGGAAAAAGGTTGAAGAGGAAAATTTGTGTATGATATGTTCAAAATGAGTTCTTTCTAAGCACCTTCAACAAAAACCAAACTAGAATGCCAGTGGCAGATACAGGCAGAAGCAGATATCTATTGCGGTGCTTGGATAATTGCCAGGCTAGAGGCCACTGATAGGTATTTGTCATTCAGAAATGATCAAGTAATAGTTACGGCCGTGGCATATTATCAGATGTATTTTTCTAAGCTCATTCCTCACAGTGTGATTAAATACCCTCGCATTGCTTTCACTATTGTTCGTCATTAATATCATTAACTCATAGTGGCATATCATTAGTTTATCGAAGTGTCACTGACGACGTCACATGGTCCAGCTTTTACATATCAGATTTCATTTGCTACATAGCATGTGTTACAGTGATGTCGATTTCATGATATGGGGTAGCTGTCTATTGTGGTAGAAAAATAAGAGCTTTGGTATGGAATGGAAAGATCTACAGGCTTAAACAATTCCCCATTGTCTAGATCAAGATGCTTGGCTAAGATCATACAAAATCATTTGGTGTTTGGATGGTGATGGGAGCAAATAGATGTCATTTTTCACATCTGCAGGCAGTCCAAAATGATAAGAAATGAAGTGATTAGGATTGTTAGCGAGCAAACGGGCCGTCGCTGCCGGCGCGGCGGCGGCGTTTCGACGGCGACGACGACGACTTCGGAGTGTGCGACGCCGCCCTTCCAACCCCTCTCTCACCTTTGCCTTGCAACTCTTTGGCTAATAGAGACTCTTCCCTTTCAACGTCTCAAGTCGATGGTCCTCCGGAATACTAACGAACTCTTTCGCACGAGCAAGGATGTAGACAAACTTTGTGAGAGCAAGCATATTTGAGTACGTAGCCTTGTTCCCTAAAATTTGATTTTTCTTATCGGACTTGAAAACATGCTGTATTACAAATGAATAAATCCCGACACATTTTCTAAATGGGATCCGGAGACCTAAATGGGCCGGGATCCGGAGATGGCCTGTGCAATTCCAAATATAAGTATTCCCATCCAGCACGCGTGCGCTGACTGGTGCGTTCTCCCACGGTGCGCGTGGACGCCGCGCATACGCCCAGCAGCCGTAACGCCCTGCCGTCGCCTGCTCCAGGTTTACTTCACACCGACCATCCCGCACTGCAGCATGGCCACCCTCATCGGCCTCTCGATCAAGGTCAAGCTGGAGCGCTCGCTGCCGGCGCGCTTCAAGCTGGACGTGCTCATCTCGCCCGGTTCGCACGCGTCCGAGCGCGCCGTCAACAAGCAGCTGGCCGACAAGGAGCGCGTGGCGGCCGCCACTGAGAACGGCCGCCTGCTGGAGGTGGTAAACCAGTGTCTGGTGCCGCCGTCGTCGGCCGAGGGCGCTTGAGCCGAGGCTCTCTTAGGAGCGGCCAGCTCTTGGCGCGTCGGCTTCGTGTGGCGCGTCGGCGTCGGCCTCGTGTGGCGTGACGGCGTCGGCCTCGTGTGGCGCCAGGGTGTGGGCAGACTTTCGAGCCCGGTGTGGTGGCGAGTGCCGAGCGAGCGGCGTACCAGGCACGCGGCGAAGCAGCCGTCCATTTGCGAGCGCCGTCACTGGAACATGCCGCTTCTCTGACGCGCCAGGCACGCGGCGAAGCAGCCGTCCATTTGCGAGCGCCGTCACTGGAACATGCCGCTTCTCTGACGCGTCGATGATGAGCTGTAGGGCATGGTAGGACAATGAAGAAGGGCTCTGTAGGGTATGCTAGGGCTGTATGCGCATGGTCGTTTGCATGCCGTGGGCCCGTCACATATTTATAAATGCGTTTTAAGACCTAGAGTCCTGCGGCGGATAGGCAGGTTCCGGAAATGGCCGAAACTATGAGAGGCCGTGAGGGCGGTTGATTTAATAAAAAAAAAATGATTGCATGCCGTGGTGAAGCGAGTGCGCAACCACCGCCAGATTTAACAGGTTTTGTTATGTCCACATGAACATGAATTCTCAATAAACGTGCAATGTATGCATATAGTTGCGAAAATCTGTGCGATACGCGCCTCCTCGGGCAGCATCACCAGACTTCTCTGGTCTTGCCTGTTTCGAGCAATACTCGTCCGGTGCTGGCCGTATATAGCCGCCTGTGAGAGACGTCAGGAGCGCGCAGGTCGGTACCCGCCACCCCGGCAGCGCCATCCACCCCACAGCGAGTGTTCAGTGTGCATTGTCCGTGGCGGAGGCGTGCGCCGGGTGGAGACCTTCAATGGGGACAGCGCGTCTCTGCCAAGTCGCGGCCGGCTCGTGAATCACCTGCTTCCGGCCGCCGCACGCTGCAGCTGCTGCCACCTGGCGTCATCTCGCCGCACTAGGCGGCTGGGCGGCGGCGGCCCGTCAGTGTAGACGCACGTGCTGGGACCAGCGGACGGCCTCCGGAGCGCTGGGTGAGTGCCACGTGACCTGGGGCCGCGCACGGGCAGAAAGAAACCACGAGAGTAGCGGTGGCGCGTGAGCGGTGTGAATACCAGCCTGCATGACCGCGGGCTCGGAGGTCGCCAGCAGGTCGTGCAAGGGAACTTGCTGACACGTCACCTGTGACGCATGTGGATGAAGGCTCTCTGAGGCGATGGCCATAAGTTATACAGTAGACAGCGCGTAGGACTGAAGGTGCTGAGACCCGTGCCCGAACCGCGCGCATTACACACAGCGCTCCGGATGGTGAAAGAGCAGCAAACGTTCACTTCTCCAGCTTTGTAGGCAAACCCTCCAAGGTGATAAGGGTAGAGACGTGTGCCTCTTACCGGCGTGCACCTGGCGCGTCTTCCCCGCCTCAGCCTTGTAAGATCGGTCGGCCGGCAATACCGCAAGCGCCACTCAGCGCCGCTCGCGGCTGAGGGTGGGGCCGACCGGCCGACAGACCGGCGCGGCTCTGCCGGCTGCGAGCGCTCGGTCGACCGCTCGCCGGGAGCCGGGAGCCGACCGGCCGGCAGCCTGTCGCAGCTCTGCCGGCTGCGAGCGCTCGGTCGACCGCTCACTGGGAGCCGACCGGCCGGCAGACTGGCGCGGCTCTGCCAGCTACTAGCGAGCGCTCGGTCGAACGCTCGCCGGGAACCGACCGGCCGGAGACGGCCCCGCTCATGCTAAGATATCTCACACGACATTTGATGGCACCTGGCGCATCGGCTGTATGTGCCGGATGTTGCTCACTGCTGGCGGGCCGGCAAGCCGTTGCCGCGTGCGCTCCACCGCGTCATCTGGAACGGTCACGTGACCTGGCACTACGGCTGCCTTGCCTTGCGCCAGGTGGCCGCCTCCTGCCCTCGGAAAGCCATGTGAGATGGGGCCACCGGGGCATTAATAGGCCAGCTGGTTACGTCAGCGTCCGTCTTCGGAGTTTATCATGCGACGTGATGGACAGACGACGTTTGCGACATGTAACATCTGGAGAGACCAGTCAGGTTCTGCCGTGCAATGAGATTAGCAGCACAACGGCGCAGATATGAGCATCCCCTCCGGCACCTGGGAGCGCATTACCCCGACTGTCACATAGCTATGCATGTGGTACTAAGCACCATGATTCAAGGCAATTAACCGTGGTCGGATGCCACAGAGGCTTTCGCCAGAACTGATTATGTTAAATGATTTTCCAAAGGCTCGGGTTGCATACAAATCACGTAACTCTGCACATCTGCTGCAAAAAGTGGCAAATTCTAGTTGTTCGGTAAGAAAGTAACAACAAACATCGGCGGGCTCTGAGGCCAGCCGAAACGTTTATGCGTCCTTTCCGAGGACAACCTTGAAATGCATACTTTCTGACTGGGCAGGATGCATGCATAATCTTGGCACGTGGTTAACTACCACACGTTACTGTGGTGCGCCGGAAGTTCTGAAATCCCTGTCGGCTTTCACTGTCACATGTTCCGAGGAGGCAGGCTGCTGCACAATTGATGGACCGGCTCGTGGTTGTCCGTGGGTCAAGGGTGTCCGTGAGTTAGGTAGTGCGCGCGTGAGTGTGTTAGGCCCTATTCGGGGAGTGGAAAGCACAGCTCGCTGGCAAAAATAGCAAAATTCCCTAACATCTTCGTCACCGCTGCGTGGTGACTGCTTCGCAGTAAGCTGGAGTCGCGTGCCCGTTCCTCCGTGCTGTCGTTCCACTGACTGCCCAGCGCGGGCTTGGTGGTGAGCTTCTGGCGGTGGCTCCTTTAACAGCCTGAGGGCTAGGAGTGGGGGCTTTATTCGGGCTAATACCAAGTGGGCTCGCTCAATACAAGACCCACATGGACGGGATGAAAAATACTGGGCACCACAAGCCCTGGCGTGGAGCTTGACTGCCAAACCCAGGGCGACCAGAAAAGTCATGTGCTGGGCCGCCGAAAAATGAATGAGGGCACAAGCTTAAGCTCGACAATACTGGCTACATCAACATGACACGACTGTGTCCCCGACGCTAGCTGGCTTCCGTTCCCGGCTGAGCAGCAGGCTCCGCGACCGCGTCATTAGCCGACTGATGACCATCCGTGGCCAGGCCTTTCTCGCCGCTGGACTTCTGGTATTGATCTGAGGCCCAGGCAGAAGCCCGGCGAGCATCTTCGATTGCAGTGGCACAGCTGCGGTCATGGGTGTGACCGCGCCCCTGAGATTGATAGCATTGCGTGGGATCGTAGTAGTCAAACTGGAACCTAAGGGAGGGAGCAAGCTGACTTGAAAATGACATTTTCGATCGGAACAGTGAAAGATGCGCATTCTACCGTAAAATTGAAAAGGCGAATATTCGTTTTCCGAGGAACGATTGAACTTACCCCCCTCCCCCACTTCCCCTCCAGTCTCCACCTCTCGGTTGTCAAGCCCACGTCTGAGGCGGACCGCGCACGAGTACGCCACGATGACGCGTTCGAATAGGGCGAGTCGCGCCGTACAGCACCTTCACTGCCGCGTTGGGGCGCTGCAGCGGCGGCTTGCATATACAAATATGCCAGTCTTGGCTTGAGTTTTGCTTAAAAAATAAAATGTAACATGGCACTGCACGTCCGCAACGTTTTGAAAGTAACGCGTCTGGCTAAAAACCCCGCGTGTTTACTCTCTGACACAATCTTTTGGCCGGAAAGCAGGCAAGACGTCAGCACTCGCGGTGCAGCGCGCGTGCCAATCCTGCGTCATAATCTGCCGCCGTTCGCCGGTTTCGCGGTAGGGGCGGTAGGCCTGTGGTGTGCGTCACCAGTCCTATTGCTAGCAGACCATCAGCGCCGAGGAACGCAGCTGATTCATGGGCGTCAGAACATAACCAGTCTCAACAAATGTGGGTGTTCGGCTCATGTGGGTGTGGCTACTGTCCGTGTGATTTAGATAACGTGCGCCCCGGGGGGCCGGTTGGATGCCCTTCGTTCGGGTGGGGGTTAATTGGACCCCCTCAGATCTCGGGAACTGAGAAAGCCAGAGACACCAAAATCGCGGTGTGATGGTCTGTATGTGAATTCACTTAGACCAACGTTTGATGTTCTTAGGTTATGACCTTTGGGTCAGATAAGATCAAATGAAGTCAAATTTCAGGTTGGTCCCCAAAGTGCCCTTATAACCTAGATATCTGTTCTAGGCAAAAGGTCACGTGTTCATTTAATATCAGTGACCTTGTTTGACTTTTCAGTGGTCATGATGACCAAAATCTTACAAGACTGCTTTGAGTTTGCATTTGAATAAGCGACAAAGGTTACGCTAGTCGGTGTAATTCTAAAAGCAAAACAATGGCCTGGGTCATTTTAGATCGGTGACCTATTTTGACCTTAACGAAGTCGGCAAAATATATAAAATGCGGTTTGTTATCAGTAAGCTCGAAATAAGCACCAGTAACTAGTCCATACAGCAAGCCTTAGAGGAATAAAGCAGGCGTTTTAACCTTGGTGTGACCTTCATACGTGACCCTAGGTCAATGAAATTTGTTCAGTCAATCGTCGTGTTGTCTAAGAAAGTATCTCAGAGATGTATGGCTTCGTGTAAAACTCCGTTGTTTCATGAGATTGAACGATTCCTCAGAAATTGCCTTGACTGAATTCATGACTTAACTTTGACCTGCCGTAGGTCAGCGGCCTGACAAGATACATCTAAATGTTAATGCGAAACGATCCGCTATTCAATTGTCTACAGCTCTGCAAAATTTAGCGCGGCTACGCCACGCCATTCGGAAACCATTCGAGAAAACATTCGGGAGTCAAACTGACCCCCACCCGAGCGCATGTTAATTCCAGACAAGGGCTTGACCCGTCCGCATCTGGCGCCTACTTTCATCTAGTCCCGCACAAATTACGCCTGGTTGTTTATTATCATACTTTATGCGCCTGCAGGTCTGCAGGTCTGCAGGTTGGCGAACAGGAGCTCCACAAATCCACATCTTTGTCGTTTGAGCCTGATTTACAGTGACAGCAGTCCCCGTCCTCTGAACCTGTCTGGCAGTGAGATCGCTTCCGCCAGATTTCCGCATCCTTCAGCTGTGAAGCTGCTGCCAGAAAGCCGCTCGTGCGGCGTGCGGGCTGTCACCCGCCTTCCCCACGCGCTCCTTGCCAGCGGGAGCCCCCAGATCGCGTGGCGTGCCGGCTAATCGGCCCAAGCCCCCTGCGGTCCGCGGCCTCCCTCCCCCCTGGACCATGCCAGCTCCAGATGATAGGTTGGGATTACCAGCGCGCCCGAGGACCGCCGACTGCAGCATCGGTGCACGGGGCAGGGCCGACACGTGATCAGCCCCGCGGCAACTCTGGTCCGGAGGTGGACTGCCTGCCGGCGGGGCAGGAGTGGCCGCAGGGCGATTGCTTGTGCAAGTGATTGCAGTCGAGCAATTACGCACCGGCGTTGACTGACTGGCGACACTGACGATGCTCTGGGATTAAGTGCAGCGATCCGATTTCCACACTTAAGCCTTCTTAAATCGCTTTAAGTTGTAAGAGCGTTCCGCCGAACAAAGCGGATGATGTTGCCATGCAAAGTTTTGCGATGTAGAGCGTCAAGGTAACGTTTCTGCAACGAAGGTTTTGCGCATCCTGAAATC